CAACAAATGTCAGAATTAAAAAGATAAAGATAATAGTTTAAATATATGATCACGGGAACCAGTTTTAAAGAACTACCTTAGTTTGGGAGACAGTGTTCCATAGTGGTTAGAGAGCCAGCCTTGAATCAAAAAGGCCCAGGTTTAAGTTTGATGCTGACACAAGTTGGCTCTGTGAGCCTGGAAGCTCCAGGAAGGTCTCTAAGGCTATGAGTTGTGGCATAAGCACCAATCTGCATCGGTAGAAGACCTTTTTCCTCACTGAAAAGTCCTTACATCAATGAAATCACTGATCTGGACCAGAACAACAAAAACAAAAACAAAATAACCCTACTTAGGTAGGATTTGTTATCTTTCTCACTGAAACTGAACTGTTATACTTTTTAATCAGTTGTTAATCTTACCTGTATGGGCAGCTAGGTGGCACAGTGGATAGAGGTTGGGCTTGAAGTCAAGAAGACCTAAGTTCAAATCTGATTTCAGACACTTAGTAGCTGTGTGGCCCTGGTCAAGTAACTTAACTGTTTGCTTCAGTTTCTTCATCTGGAAAGTGATCTAGAGAAGGAAATGGCAAACCACTCCAGTATCTTTGCCAAGAAAACCCCAAATGGGGTCATGAAGAACTGGACGTGGCTGAAAATGCCTGAATAACAATAATGATCTTATTTGTAAGATTATAAGATTTAAAGTTAGAAGAGATTCAAGAGCTCATCCTCATTCTACAAGGAAAAAACAAAGGACCAGAGAAGAGGTGACTTGCCCATAGTAGTGAGACAGGTTAGTAAGTGGCAGATGGAGGTTTTGAACTCATGTCTTCCAGCTCCAAATCCATTCCGCTCTCCATGACCCCACAATGGCCCCTTACAGAACTTGATGAGGATTTTCCTTTATAACTCACCTTGTTTCTCTTGTTGTTATCTTCCAATCCTTTCTACCATAGCTTTGGGGTTCAGTTGCTTCACTTGGCAGCAAAGTTCCTCCAGGATTTATTCCTTTTTCTAGTGGGAGATACCTGACTACCTAAATGCTGATCCAAGGGCAGACACTGGTCTGCCCTCTCCACTTCTATAGCTGCCTCAGCAGTTCCTGTAACTTTTCTTTAGGGAAAGAAACCACTTACCTCAAGACTATCTATAATCAGAAGGGAGTAATTTTCCACTCTCCCTTAAAGAGGAGAGCTACCTTCCCTGCTCCCAGTAGATATTTACAGTGTTACTGGAATTAGCATTCTAAATATGGATATAGCTAGATTAGAACACTTGGAAGGTCTAGCTCCCAGGGAAAAGTTCTACTCTACTGCCAGCCCATTGAAAGACAATAGCATCTCTCCTATCAGCCAGCATTATTTTCAGGCACCTGAAATTTGAGTCAAGAATGTAGACAAAATACTTGACATTTATATATTACTTTAAGGTTAATAAAGCATTTTACATATTATTTCTCATTTGGTCCTCACAGCCATAATTTGAAAGAGGCTAAGTTACAGTTTCCTAATCCTAGATCACAAGGTAGGGGGTGGGGGCAGGGGAGATGGACTGGCGATATTAGCTGCATAGTATTATTTCACTTAAAAGATAGCCCAGGTAGAACTGAAAATAAAAAAAGAAAACATGACTATTGGCTACTGGCAGGGAAGAATTCTATTGTTATTCTCATATTAAAGTAAAATTGACATAATTGTCTATTTGAATTATAGAGTTGGTTGCAATTTATACTTCAATAGACAATTCTGGGAGAAAATGCGGCAGTTAGAGACAGTATTTAGGACTCTTTGGTTTTATTTGTGAATACTTTATGACATTATTAGAATTGCCACATAGTGGCCCCCGGACAGAGCAGGAATTGCAATCAGAAATAATTGATTTGGAATTCTGCCTCAAAACTTCTCTGGCTGTGTTACCCTGGGCAAGTCATTTAACTTCTCTTGGGTTAAGGGACTTGCCCTTCTTTGTAACATGGGGATGGTAATAATAGCACCTAACCTCTCAAACTAGGAGGCTCAGAATAGATAATCCGACCTGGTACCAAGCCCTGCTAATCCCATCTTTGCAACATCTCCTGAAAAGGCCTCCTTCTCCTCTGACACTGCTACCACCCTGCCCAGGGCCTCAGCTTATGCCTGGATTAATACAATAGTTCTTGGAGGGTCTGCCTACCTCAAATCTCTCCCCACTCCAGTCCATTCTACATTCAGCCACTTAAAGTGATTTTTCTAGAACACAGATCTGATACTGTCACACTGCTCCCCACTTCAATAAACTCCTGTGGCTCCCCATTGCCTCCAGGTTCAAATACAGTGTGCTCTATTGGCATTGAAGACCTCCAAAACTTAGCCCCCTCTTACCTTTCAAAACTTCTTACACCTCAATCCCCTCACTCATTGATCCTGTGACACTCACCTTCTGGCTGTTCAATGAACAAGACACTCCATCTTTTGGGGTCCCACCAGTCTCTCTGGCTGTCGCCCATGACTGGAATGCTCTCTCTTCTCTACTCTGACCACCAACCTTCCTAGCTTCCTCTAAGTCCAAACTAAAATCCCATCTCCTACAGGAAGCCTTCCCTAATCCATCTGAATTCCAATCTCTTCCCTCTGTTAATTATTTCCTATTTATCTTATATATAGTTTGCTTTGTATATATTTGTTTGCATGTTGTCACCCATAGATCATAAACTCCTTGGGGGCAAGGACTGTCTTTTGACTCTTTTTGTATCCTCAGCACTTAGCACAATGCCAAGCACATAGTAGACACTTGATAAATATTTATTGAGTTGAATTGAATTTATAAAGTGCTTTGCAAACTTTAAATTGCTATATGATATCTACTATTATTATCATCAGACTCTGTACATTTGTCTTCCACTTAGAGTAACTGAGGATCACAGGATTATATGTCAGAGTTCATCTAGTCCATGAGTTCTTAACATGGGGTCAGTGAACTTATTTTTTTAAATTGATAACTATATTTCAATGTAATTGGTGTTCTTTATAATCCTACGTAATTTATTTTATGCATTAAAATATCATTCTAAGAAGAGGTTTATGGCTTCACCAGACTACCAAAGGGCTTCAGGACAGGAAAAAAAAAGTGTTAAGGACTCCTATTCTAATCCAAGTGCCTCATTTTAACAGATAAGGGAGCAGAAAGATAACTTTTCCATGAATTCTCTTGCAAGCCAGAATTAGAATTCAGCCAACATTTAAGTCCCTAATGTTTATAGAGCATTGTTCCTCATGCTGAGGAGGACACAGAGTTTTAGAGAAGAAAGTCTGGCCATCATGACACTTAGAGTTAGTTCAGCGGGAGGCTGAGGTTCCATCATTAACAGCTGTAATCCAGAGTATTGCATATGAATGCATCAGAGAGGAGCAAAGCAGACTGTTGGGAAGGTTCTGGGAGGAAATGGGTTAAGTTGGGCTTTAGAATATCCTAAACAACTAAAAATGGCTATATTTCTTCAACAACTAAAATTTGTCTGATTAGGTGAGTTTTTCTTTTTTCATCAAGCTGGTTTAACAAGAGGGTAGATATACTTTGGTAATTTATTTGTAAATTCATGTGCCATGAAACATTTACTGTAACAATCATTTGTTATGCCTAGTATGTGCCAAGTGCTAAAGATACAGAGACAAAATCATAACAACTCCTATCTTGATTAAGTCAAGAAGAAAAGTTGGCCTCTTGGATTGATCTCATATATTTCACATAAATATTAGAGATTTAAGTTGACTTTGGAATTGCATTCATGGCTTTCTCCATGTTTACATTTCTTTATCATAAGAAGGGAACGGAACCAGAATTTGTTAAGAACCTACTCTGTGCTAAGTACTTTATAAATATTATCTAATTTGATCCTCACAATAACCCTTTGAGATAGGTGCTATTGTAATCCCCATTTTATGTTTGAGGAAACTGAGGCATATAGAGATGCTAAGTGACTTGCCCAGGGTCACACAAAATGAGAATTTCCTTAAATGAGAATATCACTGTGTTAATGATTTCTGTTTAAAGAAACTGAACAAATTAGTTTAGAGGTGGTCTTTGTTTTTAAGTCTGGGTTATTTAGTGAACATCAAAGGGTATGAGATGTTTTATGTATTAGCAGGAGGGAATGTCAATTATAACCAGAAAATCCTGCATTCTAGAGTATGACTAAGTATCTTGGCTGGCATTAAAGTTATAAATTACATGAAATGGAATCTTTTACTTCCTAATCTACATGAATGATTCATTAAAGGCAATATCTACATATACTATCTATTACCAATTACATACGCAGACGAATTAAAACCACATGAACTAAAGACTGAAGAGTTCATGAGTTTTTAGACTAGAAAAATCTATGCATGGTAAGACACTTTCTGAAATTAAAAAGAAAACAAAACATATCCTCATAAGCTTCTGCCTTACACAGGCAGGATTGTTTTTATTCCTTTAGGATATATTTGGTTCGATCCTAAATATAAATCCACTCATTTTTATCTTGTAATTTTCAGAGATTGTCAAAAAACTAACTGATTATAAAGAAAAGATCTGGTAAAACCAAGAAGGTGTTTTAAAAGCACATTTTATTTCTTCCCACAGTTATGGCAACTATTCTTCTTAAGTGGGGAAAGGAAACCCCCTTTTTAAATTGGAGCAACTTTGCATTAAAATTTCTTTCCTGAGCAGAATAAAAAGCTGCCTGTGGTTTGCGCAGTGATTCTGATGGGTATGAGTATCAGTCTGATTTTGCCTTCAGAGTTAAGTGTGTTAGCAAAAGACCAAACCCTTTAGTTCCACTGGGTTTTCAAGGAAATCATTATGCCAAACACTTCACTAGAAAGGCTTCATCTCCATACAGCAGCCACTGTGACCTGTTTTAGAGCTGACATCATAGGGTGTCATGTGGCTCCTTAACAGTTCAGTCTCAGAAAGAGATAATCTGTGAAAGCCACCAGTGCCTCATTCCTGCCCGTGCTAGGTCTGGGCAAGCAGAAACGATGACAAGCAATGGCAGGGATACAGCAGCCCTAAGTCAGGAGAGTTTGTACGTTGCAGCAATGGAGTCCTAGGTCTCATTTCATTTACTTATTTATTTATTTATTTTAGAAGTAAAAGCATCTGACAGGATGAAAAGCATTAGCGACTCTGGACTGAAGGGAGCCTGGCCTCTGAATTAGGATCAAGTAGTTGTCTGAAATCCTGGATTCTCTGTTGCGTATGTTTCAGTCTGAAGAGAACTGATGAAATTCAGCCTAAACCCAGCTTGCAAAGAGCTCACCACTTTTTCAGTTGGTGTTTGAAGATTTCTGCTGTTCAGTCTCACTTTGGGCTGCTTAAGAGCTGTGTTGGATAACCGAAGGCAGCAGCACTTTCTTTGTAGTGTATGTTAGAGATATTCTTCAGACAAGTTCACTTTCTAGAACAATACTTCATGGATCTCTCTCTCCTGCCATCCAAATAAACAACTCTTTCCTTTCAAATGGGCAAGGTTTACTCTCTTCAGCACGATGGAGAGCTCAGGACAGCAACAACTCTTATGGGAGTCTGGCCAGGACAAAAAATCTGACAATGTAAGTGCTCCAAAATATTTTCCCATCTTACATGAACCGTATTTGGACATGCTACTGATAAAACATAAGGCCATACTCTAGATGAGGTCAAATCGAAGGCAACCGTAGTATGGTAGGTCTTCCCTTCACTCCCAAAATAATTTAATGTTTTTATGTAAGCAGTGTGGGTAAATTGCATGACTTACAACACTATTTTTTTATGAAAATTATTGGTCACTAATTTTAGAAGTGTGATTTTCTTTCAAATTGAATAATCCACCCAAGGTTAATTGTCATTTTTGGATTTACATTTATTGGTCATGTCAATACTTCAACAAGTAAGTGATGAGAGTAAGTTTAGTCTGTTAGGTATATATTCCTTAGAATTCAGGATACTCATCGGAACACTGAAACAGAGCAAATAACTCTATCTGGAATCATGTGGGTTATCTTTCCAATTTTAAAAATTTTCTTTGGAAAAAATTGGCAACGTGTAGCTAAAAATATTTCTGCTAGTTAAAAATGCGGTGATATCTTCTTGTAAAGTGATTGACATGAACCCCTTGGTCTCTGTCTTTTGTAACACCAAGTATACCTTCATCCTTCATTAGGAAGTATTTACTTAATTAAAAGTATGCTAGTTAAATTGTTACAACCAGAAAAAAGAATTTTTTTTTCAAGATTGGAGAGAGTCATCTGATCTTTCCATAATAATGCCTTAATAATATAATTCAGATGTTATAATCAGAGAGGGAGAGGGAAGAAGAGGGAAATGCAAAGAGAAAGAGGAGTGAGGGAAAAGAGAGAGAGATAAAGCAGAGAGAGGGAGCAATAAAAAAGAAAGAATTTTGGATAGCTAGCAAGTTCAACTATTTTGATAATGTTCATGAAATTACATAATTTTAAATAAGTAGAGCCCAAAGTGTAAAAATATATAATCTTAAATATATATATATGTATGTATATATATATATATATATATATATGTGTGTGTGTGTGTGTACACACACACACACACACATATAATCTTAAAATTGCTTATTTTTAAAAATAAACTTGTACTGTGGGATAGTCAGAGAAATGCATTTATTCTAAACCTTTTCTTTTAAGAGCAATTGTGAGAAATCTCGTTTTTGATAGTCTTGTTATGTGAAATTCTACCCCCTCTATTTGTTTTCTATTTCAAAGGGGAAAAAAGGCATGTAAAATACAAATTTCTTAGACAAGTCCCACAACTTAATTACGCGTAATCCTCATAGGTATAAGCAGCTCCAAAAGGCTTGCTCATGTTAGATTGAGTAACTGGGAATACCACGTTCTGAAAATGGCATTTCTGCATTGATGTTGTATGTGGTATTGGGTTTCAGGGAAGGAGTCTAAATTTCATTTCTCAAACAGAACAGGCACACTTTTATTAGTTTGGTCTCCCAGAAAATACCTGAATGTTTACTTTGTGGGTAACCTAGAATAGGTCAATGGTATAGAAAGATAGTGGAGCAGTCTAGGATACCTGCAGTTTTAGTTTCCTTTCTTTCCAACTTTTAAAATGAGTCTGATTTTATAGGTGAGTGAATAGTGCCTTTAGCACCACCAGGGGGCATGTATCTGGGGGTTTTAAGTATTGATTGCTCTTTTGAGAGGAGTTGTGCCCTTTCAATGCTGCCAGTGGAGTTTGAATAATTCATCCTGGCTCTTTAGGCTGTGATACTGTGATCAACTGGATCCTAGTTTTGTGCGGTAATTCAAATCTATTTTCTAATTAAGGATGGGCTGGGACAGCTGCCCCTCATTCAGTAATTCATTCTCCCTTGGTTAACATTCTGCTTGTGTTGCCCTTTTGACAATGCCTCTGGATTTATAACCACAGCTGTTTGGCTTGTATCACATAGTTTCGACGTGCTTCTCTACATATTTATTGGATCAGAAATGATTGTTGCAGAGCAAACCACAAACATTTGTGATATCCTCTCAGTCATCCATGAAACCACATAAGTCACCTGAATGGTAGAAAGTGCCTGGCTTTGCCCAGTCCACTTCACAGCCACTTGACTCTGAAGCTATAAACATGCCTCTCCCTCCTCCCACTCACCTCCCTCCTTTCTAGCATTCTGGTGGTAGCAGATGTTTGTGGAAGTTCTTAAGTTTAGTTGAATGACATTTTTTAAATTGCCAGTGCAAAAATGTTCTCAACATGCTTTTTTCCTTGGCCCACAAATCCCCAAAGGGCTTTTGTTGCCCATGTGAACTAAAGACTCTGGGGGCCTCATTAGATGCCTGTAAAACATACCCCCAAGCTCCAATACTTGATAGCTAAACATGACTGGAGCTGACTTATCAATCACACACAATTCTGTGATTGAATTTCATACCCCTCCCTGCCAGCCAATCCAACCCTTAGAGGAGAATGTTGATTTTGAGACCATTCCTTAGATTACAAACTAGTCCTCCTGAAGCAACATTTCCCTTCTTCCTCCCCTCCAGCTTCTACATAGGGACTTACACACACACACACACACACACACACACACACACACACACACACACACACGATCTCAACTGCAAATTTCGCCTTCCCTTAGGAAACTCCTTGCCAGGTGCTGTTCCAGTGAGTAATATAAAGGAAAAAGTGGCCTAGGTAAGACCCAAAGGTTGTTAGGTCATGGGAAGAGAGGTGAGTTTAGGCTGTCTAGGGACAGGGAGTGTTGCAAAAATGTATTAATTTTACTTGAGTGAATAACAAACTTGTCTGGCAGTGCTGTATGTGTGTGGACATTAAGAAACAGGACACGGGTCATATTATCATAGCATCAGGGCTGACTGGGGCTTAGTGAGCATGTAGCCATATTTTCATAGACTGGGACAAAAAGAAGATTTAGAAATTTGCTCAAACTTCTCCATTTTACTTAATTTAACATGTTTGATTTATCGATTCTTTGTTCTATTGCTTTCTCTTCCTAATGATGCCCCCATCAGACTTAACCTTTCCTCATAACAATGAAATAGTCAAATAAAACACATCTACACGTATATGCACACACATGCCATATATGATATAGTGTGCCCCGTTCTGGACCTGTAGTCTACCACCTATCTGCTGAGGTATTTTACCATAATGTCACTGACCAGAGTTCTGATGTCTTTTGATCTTCTTTTCCTTTACATTGTTGGGCCTTTGTGTAAATTTGGTTCTGCTTACTTCACTACACAACAGTTCATACATGTCTTCCCAAGTTTCTCTGATTTATTCACATTTGTTTCACTACATTCATACATAAAAATTTGGCCATTCTCTAATTAATGGACACCCACTAATACTTAAAATTGTTCAGCAGTGAAATAGTCAGGCCGTCTCAGCCTCTCTTTTTACCATGTTCTTGTTACCTACTCCCATCCCACTCCTATGTGCAATCCTCTTTTTTAATCGTACTTTGTTATGGAAATGCTTATCTTGTTGCATGAATTGAAAATAAATAATAACTACATAAATAATAAATACATAAATAAATGAGCAAACGAACAAATAAATAAATACATAAATAAGTGAATAAATTAATTAATTAATTAAATAGGGCTATAAAAGTAGTGAGTTCCTAATCTTTGAAAATCTGCATGTCTGGCATGCTGTGGAAGGAATTCTTGTTTTGAGAGAGTGACTCAACTAAATGGCCCCCAAAATGCTTCCTTACGGACAAGGTCTGGCAAGCGATAAAAACAGGAAGAGCGCTAGGTGGCTTGGCCCTGGGCAAAGATGACAAGTGACTCTCTAACAAGAGGTTTTCTGAAGCTCATGGTGGACTCTGAGAGGGAAAGATATCACTTGGGGTAATTTGTGTTTGACTGATTTAATAAAGACAAGAAGAAAACCCAGAGTTGCAGGAGATTTTACCCAGCTCTGAACATATCCTCCACTTACCACTTTTGGTTAGATAGAAAAGAAAGAGAAGAAAGGAGTGAGAAAAGAGTGAAAGGGAATCAAGAAAGAGAAGAGAATGCATGAAAGGGCTACTGAGAGTCATAGAAGAGAGCACAGAATTTACGGTTCTAAGGGAATTATGCTCATATTCAATAATATTGAACATTTTCAGAGTATTGGTTTCTGAGGACTGAAAAGTTGGCAAGGAGGCACAGAGAAGATTAAACATTGGTGGTAGAGTGAGCAAGAAACAGAGAATCTATGAGAAAAGGCTAAAGAAATTTATATTATTTCACTCGGAAGAAAGAATAGTAGGTCAAAGTAAAGAAAATAACCATTCCCTTCTAAGTAAGTAATTTAGGTCAATTCAAATTCTGACAATGATGAACTCTCTGCATACCTCCTGAGGGACTTGATATGAAGCTCATATGATGCAATAGAAAGAACATTAGATTTGGATTTACAGGACCTTGGTTCCAGTCCCATCACTGCTACTCTCTACCTGTGTGACCTTGAACAAATAAGGCCTCTGAGCTCAGTTTCCTCAATCGTGTAAGAAAGGGGTTGGACTATGTGGCCTTCAATGTGCCTTCCCCCCCAAATCAGTGTTCCCATGAACTACTGGGTATGGTGATTATTTATAGCTTACTTATATATTTGACATCAAGTAAGGATCTTACAAACAAGTTGATGTTGTTTGCTATGGAAAAGACTGGAGAGAAAAGTTAGCAGAGCTTAAGTTTTGTCCTGAACCCTGACTCTAGTGGGTCTCATTGACTTTGAGCAAACCACCTGACCTGCCTGCTTGTCCTTACCAACCACAATTGCCTCCTTATCATTCTCAAAGGCATACTGAGAAAGAAGTGCTTTGAGGTCTTTGGAATATAAGGTGGTATTATCACATTATTATTTTCACAAGCTGTTAACTCAAAAGAAAAAAAAAGTGAAAACTTAATGCCAAGGAGATCTTTGGCACTTTGTCAATTCCACTTTAGCTTTGAGGCCTCTTGGATTGGTGCCTGTTTTTTTTTTTCATGGCACCAAATAGCTCAAAGCTCTCTTTTTCAGCACCCACAGTATTTTCTTCCTCAGTGACAGAATTAGGTGA